TTTGTTATAGCTTATTTGTGTTAGTCTAGGTGTACTTTATGTTTTCCTAGGGTTAGGGTTATGCTTGCTATATCTTGCTTGTTTTCACTTTCCTTAGTCAAACACTTATACTTTTGTAACTTGACAGTGTTCTCGCCTCTCTTGTTACGGACCCTCGTGCCTCTCTGTCTTCTGTGTCCGCTCTTACTGCCGCAGTCACTGAGTTTGCCTCTACTCGCCGCCTTGACTACGCCACCACTCTTGTGGCTGCTCCTCCTACCAGTCCTCTGGCCGTCGGGGGTGAGTCTGCCCTTGGCTGTGACGCCCTAGAGGACAGGCAGTTTGAGCTAGAGTTCCTGGCAGCCGCTTCCCCTCATCTCTGTGCCATGCTGCTCGCCCCTGAGGGAGACCCCGACGCCCTTGACATACCGACTCCTCGCACTTATGCTGAGGCAGTGTCAGGGCCTTGGGCCTCTCAGTGGAGAGCTGCCATGGACTCAGAGATGGCCTCCTACATATCCACAGGCACCTACGTCGACGAGGTTCCCCCTTTTGGGGCGAACGTAGTTGATGGCATGTGGATCTTCAGGGTGAAGCGGCCACCGGGATCTCCTCCGGTCTTCAAGGCGCGCTATGTGGCTAGAGGTTTCAGTCAGCGCGAGGGAGTTGACTTCTTTCAGACCTTCGCGCCTACCCCGAAGATGACCACTCTTCGGGTGTTATTGCACGTAGCAGCACAGAGAGACTACGAGTTACACTCTCTTGACTTCTCTACTGCCTTCCTTCAGGGTAGCCTACACGAGGAGGTCTGGTTGCGTCGTCCCTCTGCCTTCACTAGCACTTTCCCTCCTGGGACCCCAGTGGAGGCTGAGGCGTCTGGTCTACGGTCTCCGTCAGGCTCCTCGTGAGTGGCACGACACCCTTCGTTCTACCCTGTCTGACCTCTGTTTCCAGCCGTCTTCTGCTGACCCGTCGCTGTTTGTTCGTCATGGCTCCACACCGTTCTTTGTACTGGTCTACGTCGACGACCTGGTTTTCGCCACTGCTGACAGGGTTGCTTTGGCTGACGTGAAGCGCGAACTGCAGAAGAGACACACGTGCACTGACCTTGATGAGCTGCGCCACTACCTTGGCCTGCAGATCACCAGGGACAGAGCCGCTCGCACCATTACACTCTCACAGTCACACATGGTGCAGCAGGTCCTTCAGCGGTTCGAGCTTCAGCACTCCACAGTACAGCGCACACCTCTTGATGTTGACCACAGACTCACTGGTCCCTTCCCTGACGAGCCGTTTGAGCCGAGTGGTCCCTACGCAGAGCTTGTAGGCTGCCTCATGTACCTGATGACTTGTACTCGCCCGGACCTCGCCTACCCTCTCAGCATCCTTGCTCGTTTTGTTGCGCCAGGGAGACACCGTCCTGTTCACTGGACCGCTGTTGTGAGGGTGGCGAAGTACCTAGCGACGACATCAGGCATGGGGTTGGTACTTGGAGGGAGACAGGACGTCGTGCTTACTGGTCACTGTGACTCTTCTTACGCCGACGACGCCGAGACCCACAGGTCTACTCAGGGTTTCTGTTTCAGCCTGGGCTCTGGAGCTGTTTCGTGGAGGTCCACGCGCTCCTCCTCGGTCTCGACCTCCAATGTAGGCTCCAATGTGCCTAAACGAAAGATAGAGTGCACAGCCGGATTTCTGCACAACGGCTTCAAACGTTCATAGCGTTCTGGTCACAGCTTCAAATGACTTGATTCAACTTGGATCTGGAGCGTCTTATTGTCGCCTACAATAGGAAATTTAGATCGCACAATTTCACCAAGTATTGACGACACAACGTCAGTTTGAACGAACGGCACTATGGCAACCACTATAGTCTTAGAACACAAGATAGGAAGAGTTACGAGTTGGGAATGACTCCCAGCTCCTACAAACCCCAAGAGCCGAGGTACAGTGATGTGGAACAGTGCCACACTGTCCCCAACCACGAAGGGTCTCGAAACTACCCTTCACTAGGGCCTACACCAAGTGAAATGTTACACTACACAAAGTAATGTAACTATCTTCAATATCTTGAGGTGTACCCTTTTGGCGAGCTTCGAAATCACTTGAGGCTTGACACCAAGGCTCGGGCTCTTCATCACAAACTCATCCTTGAGTTCTTGATGGGTCTGCTGCACACACCTGCGACACGCCGAACGTTCGACACAGGACAAAATAGAAACCGCGCACGACAAAATAGAAACCGCGCGCGAGACACAAACGACCGCGTAACACGCGTCTAGCGATAACTCGCTATTGACTCGACACACACACTCGACATCATGACTCAACATTCACACACAATTATAAGCATGAAATATATATTATCCCATGCCCTCATACCATTCCATACACACACACATTCACGCACACGGACAACAAGCCGAGTGCAAACCGTAGGGTTGCACCAACAACCCACAGGTCTACTCAGGGTTTCTGTTTCAGCCTGGGCTCTGGAGCTGTTTCGTGGAGGTCCACGCGCTTCTCCTCGGTCTCGACCTCTACCGCTGAGGCTGAGATCTACGCTGAAGCCATGGCTGCACAGGAGCTGCGTTGGTTGACCTTCTTGCTCACCGACCTTGGTGAGCGGCCGAGCTCTGCACCGACCTTGTTCACTGACAACAAGGCGGCGATTCTTCTCTGTCGAGAGCCTCGACTGGAGAGCAGAGTGAAGCACATCAACGTCAGGTACTTTCTTCTGCGAGAGTTGCAGAGGCGTGGACAGGCTCGCTTGGACTTTGTGGAGTCCGAGGCCAACACTACCGACATCTTCACCAAGGCGCTTCTGCCTTGTGACCACCACAGGTGTTGTGTGCAGTTAGGTCTCGTTGACTCTGGTTCCCGTCTTGCCTAGCGGTTGCTTGTTGTCTTGTACTCATTACTTATATACCTGTGAACTCTTGAACTGGCCTTGTGGCCCTTTGGTTGCGCTCGGAATGTGTGGTGACGTTGTGATCCACCCTGAGCTTTGTTTGTTTGTGACTGGTATTGTGACCATACTCTTTTGTCTTTGCTTGACACCCCTCACTTAGGCTATGGGGGTGTGTCAAATGTTGTAGCCTGTAGTGAGGCTTGTCTTAGGGGGTACAAATATTAGGGTTTGCTATATATACCCCAACCCACATCAATGAACACACAATTCAGTTTCTAACAGATACTTGCACGTGGCGGTGCATGGTTAGGCGAGCGCGTGGCGAAGGGGGACCACAGCTGAATGCGAAAAGAGATAACGACAGAATCTCTCCAGGCGGGAGGAGAGAGCAGCGAACATTTCACATAGCTTTAAAGCCCGAGTCCCAAATTGCAAGCCGCGCGGGTCAAGTTTTTAAAACTTGATGCTGAGCAGCTTGCAAACTTGAAAAAAGTGCAGCTGCAATTAGGGACTTTCGAGCTCCCACCAGGGGAAAGGCGAGGTTTGGCTGTGTGTTGCGAAAAAAACGAATTTCACGAAATTGATCCTCTCGCCACAGCCTAAAAACTGAACTACCTCCTCGTCAACCTTTTAAAACTTGTGCAATTTGGTCGTTTCTGAGCAGCGCTTTCACGTCCAGCTTGAATTCTACCGAGGTCGGTATAATGAGTACGGGCCCATGAAAGTCTGGACCACGTGTCACCGAGTTGGGCACCCCCATAGCTGGCCTGTGCATTCGTGGATGAGTCCCACGAGGCTGAAGGACACTGCAGTATTTCTTGCGCATCAGTCAAATGCGACGTCGCGAGCGGGTACATCGCGCCGCGTCCACTCGCCGAACATCGCTCCTGATGAAATCAAACGCGAGGGAGGCGTCGGGGCTGCATGAGATGCGGCACGAACTCGCAGGAGATTCCTCCAGCAGAATCGCGCGCAGGCCCCATGAGCGCCCGAAAAGCTGGTCCTCTTATTCCCTATTCCCTTTCGAGTGTCCTCAGGCTCTCTGGCTAAGCGTGTTTGGCTGTCCTTCCAAAACCATCTCAGGCCTTTCCCACCCTGCGCCGAGTTTATCATTCGGCCTAGACAAAGTACAGCCTTCCAGCATCGCGGTGACGCGGTTGTTGCGTTTCTTTCACCTCGTGATTTCACCTAGTACTACGAGCTAAGCAGTCAGCCACTCTCCGAACGGAGCACGTGCAGTTACGAGTCCAGTAGCATAGGTCAGCATGGCGACCAGCACTCGCGCGCCCGAGAAGTCGCCCTCCCCGTCCCGCCCTGAAGAGGTAGGCGCGACCGCAACTCTGCCTGCCCCCCGTTGCGCACCCCTTTCACTCCCCATCCTCTCCGCCAGCCGTGCTCCCGCTCACCCCCCAACACTCTCCCCCTTTGCCCTTCCCCCTCCGCACACTCTCCCCCCTTGCTGGGCGACGCGCCCTCCATGGGGACTCGCGCGCGCGTGATCACACCCACGCTGCTGCAGTCCTCGCAGCCGCTCTATTCCTGTCATCACGTGAGTACTCACTGCGCCTCTCCCTTTCCCACTTTGCCACTCTCTCTTTTCTCTCTACGATTCTCCTTTCCCCCCCTACAGGTGCCAGGAGAAGCCCCTTCCTGGAAACGACCGCCTCTCTCCTCCAGTCCTTCCGCTCGCTAAAGTCCTTTTGCCAGCACGTGAGCACGTGGGCGCACTACGCGCAGAGCCCTGGGCGCATGATTGAGACGCACCACCTGGTGGCTCGCCTAACCGAGGACGTTCTTCAGTGCATCGTCTTCGACAGTGATCAACCCAACGCGCGCATCGTTGGTAAGTTTTAGTTATCTGATATTTATCCTTTTTTTCCTCGTGTAGTCACTCCTCTCCTCTCCTCTCCTCTCGTCTCGTCTCCTCTCCACTCGTCTCGTCTCCTCTCCTCTCTCCTCTCCTCGCCTCTCTCCTCTCTGCTCTCCTCTCCAATCCCCTCCCCTCGCCTCCCCTCCAATCCCCTCCTCTCCTCTCCTATCATATCCTATCATATCCTCTCCTCTCCCCTCCTCTTCTCTGTGTGTGTCGCTCCAATCCATACCCCCCCAGGCGTGGAGTACGTCGTATCGGAGGCGGTGTTTGAGAAGCTTCCAGAGGAGGAGAAGCACCTGTGGCACTCGCACTACTATGAGGCAAGCACGCACGCATGCACGCATGTTCTCCACTGTTGCACAACACGGGAGCCACGGCTGGTTCTGGTTCGTCCTGTTGCTCAATCTCTTGTATTGTCATTCTCACATGCCTCTGTCCGCTCACTGGTTGTACTAACATCTCACATATCCGCTCACATGCCCTCTGCACTGCGTTCTACCCACCCCTCTGCCGTGTGCTCGCATCCACCTCATCCCAACGAGCAGATTTGTGAGTGCTTGTGGGTGAACCCCGGAGTGCCATAGACAATGCTGCAGCAGGAGCTGAAGAAACTCGTGAAGTTGATGGCAAGATTCGTCTGTGGGTGCAATCAATACCTAATGACATGCCCCTTCTTGTCTCCCCTGCAGATATGTGAGGGCCTGTGGGTGAACCCCGGGGTGCCAGAGACCATGCAGCAGCAGGAGCTGAAGAAACTCGTGAAGACGTACGGCAAGTTCTGGAACACATGGCAATTCGACCGAGGAGACCCCCTCCCCCTCGGCCCCCCCGCCCTCATGCTTTCCCCCCAAGACCACCCCTTGGGGCGCGTTCCCCCGTGCTCTGGTGGAGCAGAGGATGCTTCTTTGGGGATAGAGACGGGGGAGAAGCGGGAGCAGCGGGCGGCGCTAGTGGACAAGGAGTGGGCGGCGACGGGGAAGGACCCGGGCGGCGGACTGGTGGATGGAGAGTGGGAAGGGGTGGGTGACTGAAATGAGGGCTGCTGAGCTGGAGAGTATGGGGATGGGGAAGGGTGGGGAGGAGACGGGGGGTGTGCCGTCTGTGGTTATCGGGGGAGGGGAAGGGAGGAGGGGAAGAAGGAAGGGGAGAAAATGGGGAAGGAGCGTGGCATGGGGGAGGAGGGAGACGGGTTTGGCTGGTCGTCCAGCCCAGTCCTCAGTGATTACTCTTGAGTGACCATTCTGAGATGATTGTTGAGCGACCATGGCAGATGGTTCAGTGCTGAATGATAGCTTCATGTGATGCGCCACACCTCTCAGGATGGGGCGTGTGGTGGGGGGGAAGGAGATGGGTGTGGGTGGCTAGCCGTCCGATAGTCTTGAGAATGTTTGTTGAGTGACCGTGGCAGGTGGTTAGTGCTGAAGGGAACAGTGCATGCCATGGTGTGACTGTATAGTGGTACATATGAAACTTGCTAATAGAAAATCCATTTGTGGTGTGGTGGAACTTGGAAGAAAATCCATGTGTAGTACCATTCCAAATACCAGTCAATAGATTGGTCAGTTACCTATTAGCTATGATTTCAGAATATTCAATTACAGTGTACATGCACAATAATCGGCTCCTTGCATTGCATGGGACTCTCTCTTCATCAGCATCAACCCTCTGTCGCAAACTCGTATCCTTGTCATGGCATCGTTCCTACAGTATCAGCACCACCATATGCTGTTCCATCGACATCTTATTAGTCTGAAGAATCAGCTCATGTGTAGTCATCCTTCTTAGTCTCGGTACCGTCCGCTGTTCCACCACCTTTGCTTCCACCCTTGCTATCATCTGCTTCATCCTCCTTCCCCTCCCCTGCCTCGCCCCCATCCCCATCCCCATCCTCCCCATCCTCCTCTCCCTCCTCATCCTTCTCCCCCTCGTTCTCATCCTTCTCTCCCTCATCCTCCCCCTCATCCTCCTCCCACTCATCTTCCTCATCATCATCCTCATCCTCCTCACTATCGTCTCCCTTTGCTGCTTTCTTCGCTGCTTTCTTTGCCACGCTGTTCGCCGCCCCTGCATTGCCCTTCTCCATCTGCCACCACGAACAGAACCAGAGGTAGCACAAACAGAACCAGTAGCAGCAGAACCAAAGGCATTAGAACCAGGGGCAGGAAATTGAAAGGCAGTTTCGAGACGTCTCAATACGTTGGCACGCTGTTTGCCGCCCCTGCATTGCCCTTCTCTATCTGCAACCACAAACAGAACCAGAGGCAGCACAAACACAACCAGCAGTCATGTGTTGGGCGTCCATTCCTTTGCGCACCAGCATTGAAGGACAACCGAAACGATGGTCACAAAGCTTGAGCCCTTCAAAGTTCTAGAGCATGGACTAGGGGGAAGAGCTCCTAGGCACCTCAGAAATCAAGCACACCTGAGCAAATGGAGACACCTGGACACTTGGGCACCTGAGCACCTGGGCATTTGAGCACGTGGGCACCTGAGCACCTGGGCATTTGAGCACCTGGGCATTTTGAGCACCTGGGCATTTGAGCACCTGGGCATTTGAGCACGTGGGCACCTGGGCACCTGAGCACCTGAGCATCTGTGCACCTGAGCACCCTGGGTACATACCGCACGCAAAAGGCTTCGCCTCTCCCTCTCCCTCAGCCTCCCAAGAGCCTGCAGCACAGAGCAGTGACGAGGCAGGGAGGGGAGAGCAGTTAAGGGATGGGGCTTTGAGTCGACTAAATTTTCGCCTCAGCCTGTCAAGAGCCTGCAGACTGTCAAATGTTACTCACTGTAGCCTAACAAGCTAAGATAACATTTGACAACAGAGCAGTGGCGACGCAGAAAGTAGGTTTGTTGAGGTTTATAGAAATATTTATTGATGGACGGAGAGTGTGTGAACAAGAAGAGGTTGATTGACCCAATTTTTGTTTTGCAGGACAAGTGTGAATATAGATAAGTACAAACAGTGGTTTGTTTGTCACCCAGGTATACCCTGTACATCGCCCCCCCTCACCTCCTCTAGTTGCTTCATCTCATTCTCCCGCACTGCTGCTCCACTGTTGCATGCATGGGTGGGTGGGTGTGCAGAGCGGTGCAGGCGTGGAGAGAGGAGTAGACATAAGGGATAAGATCATGGGTGGGAATGGGAGTGGAAAACAATAACAGGAAGCGATGGTAAAAGCAGGGGTTTAGCAAGTGGAGGGAAGAAGAGAGGGGGGGGATTAGGAGGGCAAGAAGAGGGATTTTTGCTTGAGGTTGATTTTTGAGAATTCTCAAAATCAACCTCACACAAAGTCGAGGAAGAAGAGAGGGGGGGGATTAGGAGGGCAAGAAGAGGGATTCTTGCAAAAACTGTTCGGCGAAAAACACGAAGACAAACAGTGCGAGGGCAGAGCAGACGGGGTTGGGAGTGCAAGCAGGAGTCTCACTCTTGCACAATCTCTTTGGTGGGCTGCCGGCACTTGGCGCACAACCCTTTCTCCTTCGCACATGCTGTGTGCATGCATGCATGCATGGACGACCGGCAGTGCCAGTCCATGGGATGAGGGCGGGGCATTTGGGTACACATGCAATGCATGCATGCATGCATGGATGGGGCGAAATCAGGGGGGGAGAATAGGCGTAAGCTCAGGCAAAAGTTTCTGACTCTCGGGCACATTTTTTAGCTGAGATGAGGTGAGGAAGGAAGGAATATATGGATAGAAATTCCATCATGGAATGGCATGGCCCATCTTGGCACTATCGCATGGCAGGTAGCAAGTTGGCATGCCTTTCACTCGCACCTTTGCAGATGGCATGGTATGCGTCTTTCACACTCCTCTTGCCACATGCTCCGCTGTGATTGGTGGACCCAGGAGAGGTTGGTTGGGCAAGGGAGAGAACGGAAAGAGGAAGGCTGGATGAAAGGCGAGGAGAGCGAGTTACAGGCACTTTCAGGGATAGCGCAAGTGGAAAAGAACAGGAGAGGAAGGGGTAAGGAAGGGGTGAGGAAGGGAAGCAGAGGTGAATGGATGAGCGAGTGCGAGGGGAAGGAACAATCATGGGAGAGGAATGAGGGAAACGGTAGCTTATGAGTCGACTCAAAAGTCAGCTCGTGTAGGAGACTATTCGAATCGACTAAACCCAACAATCATCATATCGCTGTGTTGACCTCACAAGTCAACCAGCCACCCCAGGCCTCACAACTCGTAATGACCCACGCCCCAACTTCTGCTGCTGCCTCCGCATCTCACCATTTGGCAGGCTCGGTCAGAGGCTTGTACTTGCCGTACCTGCGCCCAGGAGTGGGGAGGGGAGGACAAGGACGATGAGAATGGGGTGTGGGGGGGATGGTGGAGGGAGAGAGCGAGGGCTGGGTGAGTGGTGTGCGTGGGGGAGGCGTGGAGGTGAAACAGGAAGCTGAGAAAAATTGGTGAGGGACCAAATGTTGGCGAGAGACCAGAGACAGAGTTTTGAAAATGTTCCCAATTTACAAACCACGTGAACTGAGACGATTTTTAAGGCGCCTAAAAAAAGTGGTGTGTGTGGTGGTGGAAGCGAGAGGGTGAAAGAGGAAGCTGAGGCACGCTGGGACAGAAAGGAGGGGCAGGGAGGGAAGAGGGGAATTGGGGAATAGGGGGAGGGAGACGTAGGAGGAATGTGCTGGGGTTGGTCAGCAGGGAATACAGCAGATGGAGACGTGTCAATCAAATGCAGAGTGTGTAGCATCCGTTTCCGAGGTGACTTTTGAGTCGACTCAAAGTCAGCAGGGAATACAGCAGATGGAGACGTGTCAATCAGGCGCAGTGCAGAGTGACATGATTGACACAGACGAGTCTCGTAGCATCCGTTTCCGCTACTAAGACTCGTCCACCTCTCTCGTCTCTCCTCTTTCCCCTCTCCCCTCTCCCATGCAATGTCCCACCACTCCCACTCCCCATCCCCCACCACTCCCACTCCCGCATCCCTCTACGTCAGCCCGACCAGCCCACAAACAAGCCCTCCTGTGCCCACTCAGCCCCTCCTAGCACTCACTCGAAGACACATGCCCTCCTGCGCCCCTCATACCCTCCCGGCACTCACTCAAGGCCCAGGCCCTGCTTCCCTCCAGCCCTCCTGTGCCCACTCAGCCCCTCCTAGCACTCACTCGAAGACACATGCCCTCCTGCCTTGCCCCAACTCAGCCCCTCACAGCATGTACAGCACGCAGCACTCACTTGCGGCGCCATGCGATCTGCTCGCTGCAGCGCCGGCACACTCCTGCGATGTTGGCGAATGGCCTCGACTTGGTGCCCAGCTCCTGGGGGGGAAGGGGGAGGGGAAGGGGGGAGAAGCCAAAGAAGGGGTAGAAGGGTGTTAGGAGGGGGTAGCGAGGAATGCAGGACGGGATGTAGTCGAATGGCCTGGACTTCGTGCCCAGCTCCTGAGGGGGAAATGGAGGGTGGAAGGGAATTAGGGAGGGGGAAAGAGGAGGGAAGGAGTGGGGGAGGAAGGAGGATGGTCGTGCCCCATGCCCCATGCCCCATGCCCCATGCCCCACGCCCCATGCCTCGTGCCCCATGGCCCATGCCCCATGCCCCATGCCCCATGCCCCATGGCCCATGCCCCATGCCCCATGCCCCATGCCCCATGGCCCATGCCCCATGCCCCATGCCCCCATGCCCCATGGCCCATGCCCCATGCCCCATGCCCCATGCCCCATGGCCCATGCCCATGCCCCATGCCCCATGCCCCATGGCCCATGCCCCATGGCCCATGCCCCATGCCCCATGGCCCATGCCCCATGCCCCATGCCCACGCCCCATGCCTCGTGCCCCATGCTCCCTCCCCCGTTCCCATGCCCCCTGTGGACATTATGCTCCGAAACCCACACTGCCCTCTCCCTCCCGTCCCCACACTGCTCCCTCCCTACGCGCTTTCTCAATCCTCCTTTCTTCCTTCTTGAGAATCAAATAAAAAATCCCCTCATCTCCTCCCTTTCTCTCCCCACCACCCCCTCGCCTCACCGTTTCTTTCTTCTGCACGTTGCGCTCTGGAACCCACGCTACCCTGCCATGCCGTCGGGGTGGAAAGAGGTGCACACAGCCACAACAGCACACACACACACACACACACACACACACACACACACACACACACACACACACACACACACGCACGCACACACACAGACTTGAGGGTTTAACCGGGGTTCTGGGTTCAGCAATCCATGCTACCCTGGCACGCCACGGCAAAGGCACAGGACGGGGACTGGTAGCCTTCAAGGGTTTAACCAATGTTCTGGGTCTGGCAGTCCCACGCTGCCCTGGCAGGCTGGCCGGCTGGCAGGATGGTAGGCCACGCAATGCCGTCGGACGGACGGACACACAGAAAACGCTGTGCGGGTACTGGGTTCACAGCATCACAACAGCATCTCTCAAAAAGAAGAAGAAAATAAAGTAAACACTGCCTTGGAGCGAGTAGGCGGGTTCTACGGGGCACACGCACACGGGACGGTTGGGCGTAGGGTTTCGCACGTTTCGCAGAGGCTCACTTGTTCTGGTGCTTGGGCGCGCCTCGGGATGGCGCTCCCCTTCTCGTCGACATCTCCGCCCTCCCTCCCCCGCTTATCGTCCACCACTCCTCCTCAACTCCCTTTCACTCCTTTGTATTCCTCTACAACTCTCGCTTTCCCCTCTGGGCCCTTCCCCCTCACAGCCTGTTTCCGCGCACAGTCGTTACGCCTCGCCGCTTGCAACGACTAGTCTTCCTAACCCGCCGCAGTGGTCCCACTGACACGACTTTTCAGGCGCTTCAAAAACCCCAACGGTCCACGTGAGAAAGTTCAAGTTTAGCCGTGGAATGCGGTCGGTTAGGCGGCTAACGTCTAGAAGTCCTGGGTCGCTGTGGTAAGCGCCGAAAGAACCAGGCAGACAGAGAGGGGGCGACAGTGCGAGCGTTACCTCGGATTTCGCGCAAAAGCAAGTAAGAGACTCTCTAAAAGCAACAAAAAATATGGTTATGCCCGCTCGCGCGGGGTGCCTTAACCGTTGTGTGTTGAGAGCCCGAAGGCTGATCTCGTCCTTGTCGAGGGAGATGCTAACCTTCTCTCGGCTCAACGAACACACGGGGAGCGAGTAATCCGCCAATCCTAGAACTTTCGTGTTTTGAAATGAAGTGTTTTATGGGCTCTTTTACATCATTGTGGATCATTCAAAATTTTAGCCACCTGCTTCATAGCACGTGGCATGCTCGACACGGCGAATGGCTTGTGCAGCTGGTAACAGCCGCCTCGCTATAATCTCGATGTGTGACACCCTTGAAATTGCCTTGCTGGTGAACAGCATGGCAGCCACCCTTGTGGATGTGGTAACACGAGTGTAACCACCCTGACAGCCTCCTCCCCAGCGAAATGCCGCGCGCTACAAGCCGGCTGGTGGTGCCGCTGACGACAGAATTTGATCTGGGTGAAACAAATCGTTCCAGAGAGATATCTCGCGGTGCGAGGTTTTTTGAGGAGAAAACATGAACCATCTGGAAACAGGCAGCTGAACCAAGTCAAGCGGGCCATTGATAATGCTGCGGCTGCAAGCCTGAAAGCACGCGCATGGCCATGGTGCAGCGCAGAGCAAGCTCGGCACAAAGCCCGCCAGCTCTGAAGGAAACCGAGCAGAGAGGACCGAGAGATCACCATTATACCACATCGCGCACCGCGTGCGCCGTTTTGCACAAAAAAAACTCCCGACGCTCATCTTCTTTTTGTGATCTAGAGTTTCTTATGGACGACCGTATGATGAGGATGTAATGGCGATGGATTTAATAAGGACGGATTTCTCTGAGACTAATGTCCGTTTCGCTGTCCTAATAAGGTATATCTTTCTGACGAATCACGAGACTCCAAGCGTTAGACGGATTAGTTCGCCCCGTATTCCCGATCCAGAGCGTGGGAGCGTCTCAGTCTGCACGTCGCGACTGATCCAAGAGTCCGCATCGAGTCTGTTCAGATCCGGCTCCTCGATTCTCTCCCGCAAACTCGGAATCGCCTCCAAGGCGAAAGAGCAGCAGCAGTCAGATCATCTTGGTCAGCCATCGTCTCTCCAGGGTCCGTCGGCATCGCTTCGATCGCCGTCTTTCCAGTTTCAATCGCCGTCTTTTCAGTTTCAATCGCCATTCCTGCAGCTTCAACCGCAGGTCGCGTCCCGTTCCTGGTTCGACATCCTTGAAGCGATCTTCGCGCGTCGCTGAATCTCCCAACGCAAGCGCCACGCGTGCTTATCCGAACGCATCTTATCCCGCGTCGCCTGGAATCGCAGGGGCATCAGGAAAACTAGAAGCCCACGAAGCCGGAAGATCACGAAAATCTCAACGATCTTGCAAATCTCGAAGTCATTTAGGGGATTCGCGGCAATCCCAAGGGATTTTACGAGATAAAAGCTTCGAAGGAGCGACAGGTGCTTACAAGCGGTTCAAGATGTCGTGGATGGGGGGATGGAAGCGGGAGACGGACAAATTTTCAGCTCGAGTTAGGCTACGGAGAGAAGGAGAAGCAGCGAGAGAAAGATCTCCCCGTTGACACGAACGGTTTAGATGGCACCACGTCGTCCGCCGCATCTGACGCTGGGGATGAATCGGACGGCGAGGGTGGGCCTGGCGCGGTGGCGAGAGCGTTTACTGAGCAAGATTCGCGAACCAATGGTGAGCGCGGAGCGACAGTGCAGGTTTCGCATCCAGATCGACTGGTCCGCTGGCGACGACGAGGAGCAGGTGGCGTTACGGTTACAGTCGCTCGTGATGGTAACCCTACCTCCCCCTCATGACCACGTGGTAGTAGGCATGCACGTGGAGCCACGTGGCGAAGAGAATCAGGACAGCAAGGCAGCATCAGCACCCGAAGCAGCACCAGACGAAGCATCAAATGAATCAGGAGACGAACGGCTGAGATTGCAGGATCCTGGAAAGTGGACGGTCCGGATGAACTTGAAAGTACACAAGCAGCGGGAGCCGCTGCACGTGCTGCGACTGACGCGAGTAGCAGCCAGCAGCAGCTCGTCCTATTCAGGCAGCGACGGGCTGTCCATGCTGGCGAAGCTGCCTCGACGCCAAGGGCGTGGCCCTCCATAGGGCTGACGTCGCTGCTGCTGCTGCCAGCGCGATTCCCACAGGGCCTTCAGGTGGAATTTCAGGTGCAGGAGGGGGTTTTGTTGGTTCGGGTGGCGGTTTCAGGGTCGGGCGGGAGTGCAGGGAGTGGTGGGGCTCTGGTGAAGTCAGGATCGGGAGATGGAGGCGAGAAAGGAGGCACGTCAGCAGGGGGACATCAGCAGCAGCAGCAACAGCAGCAGTCGCAGGCAGTATCTGCTTCACCAGAGCAGCAGCAGAAGCAGCAGCAGCAACAGGTGTTGACAACAGCAGCAGCGGAGAGCATGTTGGGTTACTCCGACCACTGGCGCTCGTTGAAGGCCCTCTCCCCTCTCCTCCTGCTCCCTCTCTGTAAGCACATCAACCTCTGTCATACTTCCTTTGCCCCACTTATAAGCACATCCACCCCTCTCGAACCTTTGTGGTCCTTCTTGGTCCCCCCTCTCTTCTTCTTTCTTCCTGACCCAAGGTCCTTTCCAACCTCACCATGAATCTACCGCTGCTGGAGGCCGGATGCGGAGAGCAAGTCCCTAGCGCCACTGTTTTTTCCTCAGTAGCCCTCCTTCTTCCTACCCACTCCAGGGTGCTCCCCAACTTCACCATGAATCTGCCCCTGCTGGAGGTACTGGAGGTGGAGAACAACCGCCCTGAGCGCGCTGCCGGGGGAGATCGGGCAAGCTGCAGCAGCTGAGGGTGCTGCGCGCTGATAACAACCAGCTCACCACCGTGCCCAGTGAGTCACGCACACTTGGCGGCTTCTGTGTGCCCAGTGCGTCTCTCGTAATGCACCATAAAGAGGGGGCAGCTGTAGCAGCTGAGGGTGTTGCTAGCTGACAACAACCAGCTCACCACCGTGCCCAGTGAGTCACGCTCAGTATCGATATGATATGCGGCATGTGTGCCCGGTGAGCGATTCTTAATCCACCTTATAGAGGGGGCAGCTGTAGCAGATGTGTGTGCTGCGTGCTGATAACAACCTGCTCACCACCTTGCCCAGTGAGTCACGCACAATATGGTTTCAAGGCCTCTGCCTGGTGAGTCACGTACAGTATTGATATGAGGCCTCTGTGTTGAGTGAGTGTTTTTCAAGGCACCTGAAAGAGGGGGTTTAGCTGCAGCAGTTGAGGGTGCTGCGCGCTGATAACAACCTGCTCACCTCCGTGCCCAGTGAGTCACGCCCACAGTATAGTTTCGAGGTTTGTCCCCAGTGAGTCTCTCTCATGCACCTTAAAGAGGAGGCAGCTGCAGCATCTAAGGGTGCTGGATGTCCTCTATTCTATATACCAAGTTCTGTTTGAGACGGCCAAGGAGGCTACGAGAAAGAGAATCTCCGACGTGCAAACTCAGCTGAGGGAGAAAGAGATGAAGCTGATGCGGGATAAGGAGATTTAGACGTCATTTTCCCGCATCAGCTTCATCTCTTTCTCCCTCAGTTGAGTTTGAACTTCGGAGATTCTCCTCCTTGTAGCCTCCTTGGTCGTCTCACTGTTCCCCGAGAGTTACGCACAACAGAATTTCTATGTGATAATAAATTGGTTTTGAGACGTTTCAAAACAACCATCTCATCACGCACAGCAAAGTTTTAATGCCTTATGAGGTGTCTCAGAATCGACTTTTGAGCCCTCTGTGCAGTGGGAGTTGTCTAGTAAGAGCGTGCACCATCCTTTCCTTGCCATGCCAAGTGCGCGCGTGGACTTATCTGGACCGTGCTCCTCGGTGCCTAGTCCTGGGCCCTGTGCCTGGTCCTGGGGACCTTGCATGCATTGACTAAAGCATGTGACGTGCTCCAATCGTTAATTTCACGCACCACCCTCTTGTTCCTCTCCCCTGCCCTCTTTCTCCTGTCCTAAACCATCCCTCCCCGTGACAGTCACACTGCGAGAGTGCACCAACCTGAGGGAGCTGTCCCTCGAGAACAACCGCCTTGTGCGTCCCCTCCTCGACTTCAGGTGCGTCTGCTACGTGCCTTTCACTTCACTCCTTCCCGCCTTCCACTCTTCCGCTACCCCTTTGCACCTTCTCACCACTGCTCCTTGCACTGTTGTTCCATCCCCTAATCAAGACACCCCCTTCCACTTGACAACTCAATCCACCCCCTTGCAGGTGCCTGGCGGACCTGAGGGTGCTGCGGCTGTTCCACAACCCGCTTGAGTGCTTCCCTGAGATCCTGCCGTGCTCGTGCCGCCATCCCACACCATCGCCTATCCCTCCCCTGCCCCCCCCCCTCGCTGCAGATGCCTGGTGGACCTGAGGGTGCTGCGGCTGTTCCACAACCCGCTCAAGTTCTTCCCGGAGATCCTCCCCTGCCGCCACCATCATCACTCCATTCTCTTTCCATAACACCACCCTCCAATCCCCCCACACTCACACACCGCCTACCCCTCCTCCTCTCCCCCCCCGCACAGGTGCTTGGCGGATCTGAGGGTGTTGCGGCTGTTCAACAACCCCCTCGAGGTGCTTCCCTGAGATCCTGCCGTGCTCGTGCCACCATCCCACACCATCGCCTATCCCTCCCCTGCCCCCCCCCTCGCTGCAGATGCCTGGCGGACCTGAGGGTGCTACGGCTGTTCAACAACCCCCCTCGAGTTCTTCCCGGAGATCCTCCCCTGCCGCCACCTGCGCATGCTCTCCCTGGCCAACGTGCGCATCATCAGCGGACCCTGACCTCAAGATCGTTGATGTCAGCATCGTGGTGAGTCTGTTGGGACGCTTGAGTGCATGGTTGCAGGAGTGTGACTTGCATGGGCTCCTGCTTTTCCATCTGCGCATGTTCTCCCTGGCCAACGTGCGCATCGTCAGCGATCCCGACCTCAAGATCGTGGATGTTAGCATCGTGGTGAGTGCAGGAGGTTTGACTTGCAGGGCTCCTGCTTTTCTCACCTGCGCATGTTCTCCCTGACCCAACATGCGCATTGTCAGCGATCCCGACCTCAAGATCGTTGATGTCAGGCATCGTGGTGACCTCCATCATTGCACAGACTGTCGCGTTTAAAAGCGTTTGAGCAACACGTTTGCCCTCATACTCGGCCACTCACCCATTCCTCGTTCTCTTCTCTCCCGCCCGTCCCTCCCCCCTCCCCTACTCACGCATCTTCAGCAACTGGAGGCGCAGCAAGGCTCCTACTGCTCTGCATCCAAGCACTGCCTGAGCGATTTCTTCGCGCTCACCTTCCGCTACTCCTCCGTGCACCACCCACTCGCTCTCCCTCTCCACCACCCCCCCCCCCCCCTTAACCCCATGTATGTTTTCAGCAACTGGAGGCGCAGCAAGGCTCTTACTTCTCTGCGTCCAAGCACTGTCTGAGCGACTTCTTCGCCCTCATCTTCCGGTACTCGTCCGTGCACCACCCGCTGCTGGCGTCCGCCCTGGCGCGCATCTGTGAGGATCGCGAGAACCGCGCAGCCATTGGCAAGGATGAGAGCGCGATCAGGCAGATCGTGAGCATGCTGCTGGCGGACTCCAAGCACGTGGTGAGTTAGAAGGGGCTGTGTGGGAGGAGGTTATGAGTGTGGCGTGGGAGGATGGCTTGGCTGGGCATGGGCTGTGGCGCATGGGGTGTGTGGGGCATGGGGTGTGGGGGTTGAGCGGGAATGGATTGAAGAGCAGAGCGGCGTTCAGCGAGGATGAGAGCGCGATCAGGCAGATCGTGAGCATGCTGCTGGCTGACTCCAAGCACGTGGTGAGCTAGAAGGGGCTGTGGCGCATGGGATGTGTGGGGCATGGGGTGTGTGGGGCATGGGTTGTGGGGTTTGAGTGAAATCTGCTCGCTGCTGCTCTTTAAGGCGTCTCTCAACCCCCCCCCCTTCCTCCTCTTCCTCTCCCATCACCCACATCAGGTGGAGCAGGCGTGCCATGTGTTATCATCCCTCGCAATGGACGACGCACTGGTGACCCACCTGGTGAAATCCGACGTGCTGGCAGCCATCTGCTCGCTGCTGCTCTTTGATACGCTTCAAAACCACCCCCAAACCCCCCTTCCCCTTCCCCCTCTCCCCAACCGCCACCCCTCCACACACATCAGGTGGAGCAAGCATGCCACGCCCTCTCCTCCCTGGCAATGGATGACGCACTGGTGACCCACCTGGTCAAATCAGACGTGCTGGCAGCCATCTGCTCGCTGCTGCTCTCCCAGCAGCCGGAGATCCTCGTGTCAGTGCTGCGAGTCATTGCCAACCTCGCCCTCGCCTCAGATTCCGTCGCTGCGCGCATTCTCAATGTGGATTCTGCTGCTATCCTTACCAGTCTGTGTCACCACACGCACATGATGGTACGTGTCTGGTCTTGGGGTAGGGGTTGGGTGGTACTATGGTGTATGTGTATGTGGGGTATGTGGGGTGTACGCCACGTGGCATGAAGGATGGCTGGTACGGGTGGGGCATGGCGTGTGGTGGTGTGCTGCTCTCCCAGCAGCCGGAGATCCTCGTGTCCGTGCTGCGCGTCATTGCCAACCTCGCCCTCGCCTCTGACTCCGTTGCTGCGCGAATTTTGAACGTGGACTCTGCCGCCATTCTCACCAGCCTCTGCCACCACACTCACATGATGGTATGTATGTGTGGGTGTGGGGGGACGGGGTGGGGGGGGGAGGGGGGGACGGGGGGGTGGTACTATGGCGTATGTGCAGCATGCAGGGTACCATCCATCCCCACTATCCCCTCCCCAAACCCTCCCTCACCCTTCCCATCACCACCTCACCCTGCATCCTTTCCGTTCTAACAACCTCCCTCTCCCTCTCGTCCATCTCTCTCGCCTCTCCTTCCCGTCCCTCTCTCCCGTCCCTCCCTCCTCCTTCTCCCAGGTGCAAACTCAAGCCCTAATGGCGGTGGGTAACTTGTCATTCTGCCCGGACAACCGCCGCCTGCTGGTGGCCCAACCAGGCTTCCTGGATGGGCTCTATCACCTTGCCACAGGGGGTGGGGGGCTGGGCGGCGGGGGCTTCGGGGGCGGGGGAGGGGGAGAGGAAGCGGGAGAAGGGGGTTTGGGAGCGGAAGGGGGGGGGATGAGGGGGGGCGGAGGGGGTGTGGGCAGGTACCAGCACAGGGCGTTAGTGGTGGAGGTTCCAACTGTCTTCTCGTTCCGCAAGGCGGCAGCACGGGTGCTTGCTATTCTGGGTAAGCTGGCTTGCTATATTGGGTAACCTGACTTGCTATTTCCGGTAAGCTGGCTTATCATCCTGGTTTGCTAGCATATCTCCCTTCAATCTGTCCCGTTCATGTGTACTGCAGGGGAGAACCGGTTGGTGCAGGAGGCGCTGTGCACGAGGGCATGCAGAGAGGCGTGCGCGTACTGGTGATGGATGGGGGGGGCATGCGAGGCATGGCCATGGTGCAGATGCCACGCAGCTATATAACACCTCCCTCTCTTTTTATCCCATTCCTGCTCGCTCTCCACTGTGCTATGATGTGCTGTGCTGTGCGGTGTGGTGCGGTGAATTGCAGGTGAAAATCGGCTGGTGCAGGAGGCGCTATGCACGAGGGCAGTGGGGCAGAGAGGCGTGTGCGTACTGGTGATGGATGGGGGGGGCATGCGAGGCATGGCCATGGTGCAGATGCCACGCAGCTATATAACAACTCCCTCCCGTTTTACCCCCTTCCCCCTCGCTTTGTGCCGTGCTGTGCGGTGGGGTGCTGTGCGGTGGGGTGCTGTGCGGTGGGGTGCTGTGGTGGTGCGGTGCAATGCGGTGAATTGCAGGTGAAAATCGGCTGGTGCAGGAGGCGCTGTGCACGAGGGCAGTGGGGCAGAGGGGCGTGCGAGTGCTGGTGATGGACGGGGGGGGCATGCGGGGCATGGCCATGGTGCAGATGCTGAGGCAGATAGAGGGGCGCACGGGAAGGCGTGTGCATGAGCTGTTTGACCTCGTGTGTGGCACGTCCACTGGCGGCATGCTGGCAGCTGAGCTGGGGATCAAACGGCTCACCTTGGACCAGTGCGACGATGTGTATCGGCGACTGGGTGAGTGGGTTAGGGAACTGGTTCTGGGCACGAGCTGTTTGACCTGGTGTGCGGCACGTCCACTGGCGGCATGCTGGCAGCTGAGTTGGGGATTAAGCGCCTAACTTTGGACCAGTGTGACGACGTGTACAGGCGCCTGGGTGAGCTGTTTTCAGGGGTTTCTGGGTGCACGTTTCGTAGAGCTGTGGAGAGTGGGTTTTGGGCACGAGCTGTTTGACCTGGTGTGCGGCACGTCCACTGGCGACATGCTGGCAGCTGAGTTTGTGATTAAGCGCCTAACTTTGGACCAGTGTGACGACGTGTACAGGCGCCTGGGTGAGTTGTTGTTTCTGTGGCTGTAGGGGGAAGGGAAGTGGTTTGTGGGCAGGCGCGTGCATGAGCTGTTTGACCTGGTGTGTGGCACGTCCACTGGGGGCATGCTGGCAGCTGAGCTGGGAATCAAGCGCCTCACACTCGACCAGTGTGATGACGTGTGGAGTCGGCATCGTGGCGGGACAAGCTGGACTTTTGGGGCGCCTCAAAATTCAAGTTGCGACCCTCCCTTGCCTTCTCCGTATTCAACCCCCTCCCTCTCTCCCACCAGGCAAGCTGGTGTTTTCGAACATGGAGGCGATGGAGTCGGCATCGTGGCGGAACAAGCTGACTGTTGATGTGCTAAGTCAAGTTGCAACCAACCCCTGCTCTCTCCGTGTTCAACCCCCTCCCTCTCTCCCACCAGGCAACCTGGTGTTTTCGAACGTGGAGGCGATGGAGTCGGCGTCGTGGCGGGACAGGCTGGAGCAGCTGTGTTGTATCCGATACCAACCCTTCACCACGCCCATTGCTATCCCCGTGTTCAACTCTTCCTTTGTGAACCCTAATCAACCCCACTCCCCTCTCACCAGGCAAGCTGGTATTCTCAAATGTGGAGGCGATGGAGTCGGCTTCGTGGCGGGACAAGCTGGACCAGCTGTACAAGAGCTCGTCTCAGAACTACCGTGTGGTGGTGCACGGCAGCAAGGTGAGTGCGGGGTGAAGGGCGTGAGCATGTTAGGGGCTGCGAGGGCCATGTGTGGGGGGGGGGGGGTAGGACAAGCTGGACCGGTGTATGCATGGTGAAGGTTAGGGGGATGATGCGGGCAGAGAGGGCAGCTCAGCAGCTGCTGCAGGAGTTTGTTAGTAGTGCACTTGATGGGTATAAGGTAAGCGTGTGCCTTCATGCGCTGTCTGCTAGGCATCTATGTTTAAATTGATATCCACTTTCATTCAGGTGTACATTTTTGTCACGGTCAAATTGGCTCTGGAAAAGCGTACACGATGTTTGGAGATTCCACTGAGGATGCCTTTTGTGGAGTTATTTCAAGTTTAGTTGAGCAGATTCTCAACTGATTTCGGAATAACTCCATGAAGAGCATCCTCAGTGAAGTATCTAAACATCGTGTATGTTTTTCCTGATCCAGTTTGACCTTAGGCAAAAATGCACACTTAAATGTAAATGGATATCAATTTAGATGTAGTTGCCTAACAGCGCATCACGCCCTCTCTCCCCTCCCGCCACCTCATCTTTCCTCCCAGACGCAACACAATGCGGAGCATTTTTAGCAGTTAGTGCAGGGAAATGTGCCGTCCCTGATTCCCCCCCCCCCCTCCCCCCCCTTCCTCCTTTTCCCCTTCCCCTCCACTCTTCTCCCGTTCCTCCCGCCCGCAGCACAATGCGGAGCAGTTTGAGCAGCTGTTACAGGAGATGTGCACGGACGACGATGGGGATCTGCTCATTGACTCCGCAGTCAAGGGCGGGCCCAAGGTCTTTGTGGTCTCCACCCTCGTTAGTGTCACACCCGCCACGCCCTTCGTCTTCCGAAACTACCAGGTGAGAAACTTAAGACGTTCCTTCGTCTTCGCCCACCCCCCTTGTCCCATTACCCTCGCCGCCCTCTTACCTCTTCTTTCTACCCTCTTCCCTCTTTCCCCATCCCCCCCACAGTATCCCCCAGGAACTCGGGAAACTCCCCATCCCCCCGCCGACGGGTCCCCCATGCCCACGCCGCCCCCGCGCATGCGCACGTCGGGGCTATCTGCGCTGCTAGGCACGTGCAAGATGCAGCTCTGGCAGGCCATCCGAGCCTCCTCCGCAGCTCCGTACTATTTCGACGATTTCGCCGTGGGGCCCCACCGCTGGCAAGACGGGGCTATTTTCGCAAATAACCCCACGATTGTGGCCGTTAGAGAGGCTCGGCTGCTCTGGCCGGACCTGCCGCTGGACTGCGTGGTGAGCCTCGGGTGCGGCTCGGCGCCGCCGAAGCTGCGTGGGAGGCCCGGGTGGAGGGTGGCAGATACGGGGCAGGTGCTTGCAGAGGCTGCGACGTCGGTGGAGCAGGCGGATCTGGCGTTTGAGTCGGTCATGCCCATGCTGCCTGATGTCAAATACTACTGCTTCAACCCAGGTCAGTTAGTGGGGAGGCAAAAGGGTTTCTAAGTTGCCTCAGAAGGATTCTTGAGACCCTTCAGAAGGTGGAGCAGGCGGATCTGGCGTTTGAGTCGGTTCATGCCGATGCTGCCTGATGTTAAATACTGCCGGTTTTAACCCAGGTCAGTCAATGGTGAGGGCGGAGCGTCGAGGAGGGGGAGAGGTGAGGAGAGTGCTTTAGAGTCGCCTCAAAAGGGCTTTCTGGCGCCTCGAAACGGCTTCAGGTGGCTATAAAGGTGGATCAGGCGGATTCTGGCGTTTTGACGTGGTCATGCCCATGCTGCCCGATGTCAAATACTACCGCTTCAACCCAGGTTAGTGGTGAGGCGAGAGAGCTGAATGCAGTGGGAGGGCTTTTTGCGGTGCCTCTAACAGGCCCTTGAGGCAGCCATGTCGGCTGGAGCAGGCGGATCTGGCGTTTGAGTGGTCCATGCCCATGCTGGCCCCCCGATGTCAAATACTACCGGTTTAACCCAGGTTAGTGGGGAGGCGACGAGGGCTTTTGAGGTTGAGGCGCCTTGAAAGGTAGACCAGGCAGATCTAGCGTTTGAATGATCAAGTGTTCTAGTATACTAAGAATTCGTTGAGTTGGTTAGGGAGGAGCTTGCAGGGTTGCAAACAATTGAGAGGGTTTCTCAGGCAAAAAGCAGACATCAGATCACGGATGTCTCACCTCTGGCTACTACCCCACTCCCACTTCCTCTCCCCCTTCAATCCGTAACCACTAAGCCAACCTGGCAGTGAAAAATTTACCCCTTCAACCCCTTCCAACACCTCCCAACGGTTCCAATCCCCCCTTAAACACCAGTGGAACGAGCGGTGTGGCATGGACCTGGACGAAACAGACCCAGCGGAGTGGGAGAAGCTTGAACCGCAACGGACGAGTACCTCACAGCAGTCAACCGCGACATGGCAGAGCTCTGCAAGTACCTCCGCCTTCTCCGTTGCTCAGGAGGAAGCTGATAAGGCCGCCGCAGCAGCAAGTTAGGCGGAGGAGCAGCAGGGGCCAGCGGCAGCAGCAGCAGGGGGGTATAGGAGTCGCCGGGCAGTCGGCCGGGAAGCATGCCTGGCAGCCCCTGTCCGGCACCCCGAGAAGGCTACTCTAGCCCTGCAGCACCACCTGTTTACCCCCCCATTGTGCTCCCTGCGTCACCTCGGTCTCCCAAGACGTCTGCCCCCCGCGTCGCCCCTGGCCAAGGTGATTGGGCCGCAGGGGGAGCAGAAGCGGGGAGGGAGTGGCAGCTCGCTGCACGCGATCAATCCGTACCGTCGGCACGTGCTGCTCGTGGACTCCATCCGGCCGTTCCGTTGTCGCGCCGGCCCTGGCAGCACTCGGCTCGGCTCTGCTGCTCTGCCATCGGCGGCGGCAGGTATGGCAGCAGCAACCAGCAGCGCTGTGTCTACCCATGCAGCAGCAGCAGCGAGGCTAGCAGGGATCATCAGCAGTATCAGTACGGAGGGTGGCAGCACTGGCAGTCTGCTCTCCCACCTGCGCCGGCCCCCTAAAGTAGACGAGCATATCTGTGAGCCCTGTGACGCTCCCTCTGGTGGCACTGCGGGTGCTGCTGCTGCTGGCTGCTGCTGCTGCTGCTGCTGCGTCGACTGGGCTCTATTTTTCCACCTCTCTCCAGTTCCCCCTTCAGCTCCCGACCCTCCAGCGTGCCGGGAGCCCCCGAATCACAGGGTCAGCTTCGGCCATTGGCTGCTGCCTGCAGCTTGCAGCGGCCGGGGCGTCTGCTAGTGGTTGGTGCTAGCCCCCCATTTTAGTGCCATCCACAGGAGTGGCAGCACTGGCAGCAGCAGGGGTAGGTTCAGCCGGTGCTGCTGGTACGGCTGGGATGAGGAGGTCTGGTATGGTAGCAGACACGGCCATAAGCCGCAGGTCCGGGAATAGGCTCGGGTGGTGCGGGTGGAGGTTCGGGAGGAACAGTGGGAAGTGCAGGAAGCCGGAGGGGAGTGGATGGAAGGGGAGGAGGGGGTGGTGGCTCCCCAGTGTCCGAGTTCCCTCCAACCTGGATCTTAACAAGCCCACAGGGGAAACCACCCGCCCTGCCACTGCCAGCCACTGCTACTGCCAGCACTGCTATTGCTGCTGCTGCTGCTGCTGCTCCTGCTGCTGCTGTACCGGTGCTGGGGGGGTCTACTATCAGAGCGAGTAGTACAGAGGACACACCGTGGGAGTGGAAGCGAGGTTTCCGGCCCCTGGATGGCCGAAGGGGAGGACTTGGATGGGGAAGAGGAGGGGCAGCGAGGCATGAGCACCAGGCAGGCCAGGCATGGGAGCAGTCACACGGGGTACACACCAGCGTCAGCATCAGGCGCAGCAGAGGGCAACGGAATCCGGCAACAGCAGGGAGAGCAGCGGCGGCGGCGGCGGCAGCAGCAGCGACGCTGCCGAGTGTGGGCGCTCCGCGACTGAAGCCGGTGTGGACAGAGGGCGGGTCGAGGAGGGCTCTGGTTGGCGCTGTCTCTCTCCCCCCCCGGCCAGGCAGCACTCATGCAGCGCCTGCAGCAGGCTGCTGGCGTGGGGCTCGTGCACCTGGCGCTTGCCGTGTGATCAAGCTGGCTTCATCCTTACGTAAGTGCCATGAGTCTGCTTGTGTCCTTGCTTGCTTTCCTGCATGAGTGTGGGGGCGCGATTGAAGCCTGCTGCAGCAGGCTGCTGGCGTGGGGCTCGTGCACGTGGCGGCTGCCCTGCGACCAGGCAGGCTTCATCCTCACGTGAGTGCCTCTGCTTGCTTGTTCTCAACCTTGTGTCGCGTGGGTCTTTGTGGGGGCTCGTGCACCTGGCTCTGCCCTGCGACCAGGCCGGATTCATCTCACGTGAGTGCCTCAACCTTGTGTCGGGTGGGTCTTTTGTGGGGCTCGTGCACGTGTGCGCTGCCCTGCGACCAGGGCCGGATTCATCCTCACGTGAGTGTTTGGTGTTTGCTTGCTTGTTCTCCTGTGAGGGCTGGTTCCTTATGAGGCACCTTCCCTCCCTTCCCTTCCGCTGGACCTTTGAGGTCAGGTCAGTGGCAGAGCCCAGTGACTCTGCCTCCCCACCTGCACTCTTTGCACGAAAAAATCACAACCTTTTCGTCCCTATCTCCCATTCCGATCACTCCCCCTTGTCCCATGTTGCCTCCCCCTCAAGCTGGTCATCTGATGTCATGTCAGTGGCAGAGCCCAGTGATTCTACCTCTCACCTGTTCTCTTTCTCTGTCCCTCACAAACTCTCTTACCCCGTATCCTCTCTTCCATCCCTCCCCCCCTCAGCTGGTCCTCTGAGGTCATGTCAGTGGCAGAGCCTATTGACTCCGCCTTCCACCTGCACTCTTTGCACCGAAAAATTCACAACCTTTTCGTCCCTATCTCCCATTCCGATCACTCCCCCTTGTCCCGTGTTGCCTCCCCCTCAGCTGGTCATCTGAGGTCATGTCAGTGGCAGAGCCCAGTGATTCTACCTCTCACCTGTTCTCTTTCTCTGTCCCTCACAACTCTCTTACCCCGTATCCCTCTCTTCGATCCCTCCCCCCTCAGTGGTCCTCTGAGGTCATTGTCAGTGGCAGAGCCTATTGACTCCGCCTCCCACCTGCACTCTTTGCCCACCGAAAAAATCACAACCTTTTCGTCCCTATCTCTCATCCGATCACTCCCCCTTGTCCCGTGTTGCCTCCCCCTCAGCTGGTCATCTGAGGTCATGTCAGTGGCAGAGCCAGTGATTCTACCTCTCACCTGTTCTCTTTCTCTGTCCCTCACAACTCTCTTACCCCGTATCCTCTCTTCCATCCCTCCCCCCCTCAGCTGGTCCTCTGAGGTCATGTCAGTGGCAGAGCCTATTGACTCCGCCTTCCACCCTGCACTCTTGCACCGAAAAATTCACAACCTTTTTCGTCCCTATCTCCCATTCCGATCACTCCCCCTTGTCCCGTGTTGCCTCCCCCTCAGCTGGTCCTCTGAGGTCATGTCAGTCGCAGAGTCCAGTGACTTCCGCCTCTCACCTCCTGCTCCCTCACACTTTCCCTCACGTTCCCTTCTTTGGTTTTTCTTTCCCCCTCAGCTGGTCATCTGAGGTCATGTCAGTGGCAGAGCCTAGTGACCTCCGCCACTCGCTTGCTCGCCCGAGCCATTGACAGCATCGGCTGGTGGAACCCCACTCGCCGCCACGCTGCTGCCCTCGCCCAGACTATACGCCTCACCCTCTTCCCATTCTCCTATCCTTCCCCCACCACCCTCACCCTATGTGCCCTCTCAGCTGGTCATCTGAAGTCATGTCAGTGGCAGAGCCTAGTGACTCCGCCACTCGCTTGCTGGCCCGGGCCATTGACAGCATTGGCTGGTGGAACCCCGCTCGCCGCCACGCTGCCGCTCTTGCCCACAACCTTGCTGCCTCTGCCGCTGCCTGCTGGTGCTGGTGTGGGTTGCTGGCTGTGGGTGCGGGTGCTCCTGGTGCTGGTGCTGCCAAAGCTCCAATGTCTGGTTCGGGTGGTCTTGCTTCGGCGCCTTGTTCAACCTCGGCTTTCGGCGGTCGTCGATCTGGTTGGGCTTGCTGCTGGTCATCAAGGAGCCAGTTCCCCCGGGCTTGGTCCGGTGGAACGCAGCAGGTTCGGCAAGCGCAAGACTAGGCAGCAGGTTCGGGATCAGCAGGCCCGGTAGGGATGAGTGCATCGGGTAGTGGTGGTGGCAGTGCCAGGGGCATCAGTGGAACCCCGAGCTCTTCCGGTGCTCCTGTCACTGCTGCTTGCCGCTGCTGCAGCTGCTGCCAGTCCTGCTGGTGGCTCTGCTGCTGCTGCTGCTGGTACTGTGCTGGTGGTGGTGTGAGAGGTGTTGGTCCGTCTGGTGCTGCTGGGGGAGGAGGGGGAGGAGCAGGAAGGGGAGGGAGAGGGGGCAGGGGAGCGGGGGAGAAGGCACCAGCGAGTCTGTGGGAGTTGGTGCATGTGGCGAGCTGCTTTGTGGTGGATGGGGTGCTGCATCGCTTCATGGGCTGCCACACTCAGGTATGCCACGTGCTGCCCCTCTTTCAAGCCGCCTCAAAAGGAGTCTGTGGGAGTTGGTGCATGTGGCGAGCTGCTTTGTGGTGGATGGGGTGCTGCACCGCTTCATGGGCTGCCACACCCAGGTAAGCCGGACTTGTCTGTGCTTTCTCCGAGGAAAAAAGTCCTGCTTTCCATGCTCAGCTGTGCTGAGTGCTTTGCCTTTCCTCAATTCATTAGCTGCCACACAGGTGTGCTGAGTGGCTTGCCATTCCCATTCGATGGGTTGTCACGCACGGTATGGCAAGTGCCCTTACCTTATCTGCGTTCTTCTCCAAAACCCATCGCTGAGTGTTTCCCCTCGTTTCCTCCTCAGAACTAACAGAGGGTGGTTTGGAGCTCTTCACACACCGCAAACAGCTACTATATGTGTGGGCTGAGCTGGGCGAGAAGCTGACATTGCTTTTCTGCCTGCCACTGTCTCCCTGTTTGTCTGTTTCCATGTTCGTCCTGCTCAGATCCTGCCTGGCGGCATGGAGTGTGAGCACCGTACCTCTTCAGCTGCACGGCTCCCGCCATCCACCTCACAGATGCAGACATTCTCTGGATGGTGAGTTGGTAGGGGTGGGGCATGGATGGTGGTGGTGGATGTTGAATGGTGGTGGTTGGTGGGTTATGCATTGGATGGTGGCTGGATGGCACGTGGCTCAATGGCATGTGGCCCTCATCATGCGTGCTGGTGTGTAATCTCTTACTGGGTGGCCATATGGTGGTTGTCGTGTGCACATTTTCGCCTCAAATTTCACACTGTCCTGTGTAATCTTTCTACTCCATCTTTCCGTGGCTCCCTGCTGACGGCCTGTCCTCCTGCCTCTCCCTCTCTCTGCCTCCGCCTCCCTGCAACCACCCACACAGGCATCATCATGAAGGGATCGCATCATAGTGTGCACGGGCCAACAGGGGCCCCCCACCGCCCTCATAGATTGCCTTTTCCCCACCTCTCTACCTCCCCTTTCTCCCTGCCGCTCCTTTGTGACCGCCCACACAGGCATCCTCGTGTGAGGGATCGCCATCATCGTCTGCACGGGCCAACAGGGGCCCCCCGTCGCCCTCATAGATGCCTTTCCCCACCCTCTCTACCTCCCTTTCTCCCTCGCGCTCTCTTTGTGACCACCCACACAGGCATCCTCGTGGAGGGATCGCCATTATCGTCTGCACGGCCAACAGGGGCCCCCCGCCGCCCTCGTAGACGCCTTTCTCGACACTGGAGCCAAGGCTGGTCATCGCTCCTCCCGCTGCCGGTTCCTCTTCATTGCCTGGACATTTTTGCTGCTGCTGCTGCTGCTGCGGCGGCAGTTGGCATGTCTCCTCGTGTTGACTCGGGCTTATCAAGGAGCGATGGGTTCGGAATTCGCGGCGGCAGCAGCGGGTGGGGATTTGGGTAGGATGGGGAAGAGGGAGGCCTGGTTGGATGACGTGGAGACTTGGATTGGTCGGGAGGATCGGGTGTTTGGTTTTGGCGGCGGAGAAGGAGCAAGCAAGTGCAAAGGTGGAGGAAGAGAGGTTGGGGTTCTGTTCTTGAGGGATCTGTACAGTGGGTTGTTTGATGATGGATTCTCGGCTCCTGTAGCCTTGGAGGAGACCCTGAAGGCACATCCGGGGATGAAGTTTTCATGCCATGTCAAGAAAGGTGAAATTGTATTAAAATTATATTCGCATATTATGATAAACACAAGCCCTACCGTAAATACTATCGAAGTAGTCTCATTTAATTATTTCTAAATTAAAAATGTGTAAACGAGCCTACCTGTTTCGCGTAAATGGTTTCGCGTTTCCGCGCCAATGCCTGCCAGCGGTGCTTGCTGCGCTGGCGCGCGTCGATGCTGGAATGTCAGGAAACTGCACCAGAAGCATCGCATATATTCATTTCCACCCCACCGCTTTCGTCTAAAACGCACAAAACCGCATTCAAATCAGCCCGATTCACCAACCACCTCCATCAACTGCCTTTCTCCTCCTCCTGCCCACACTTCTCCCATCTCGAGGCAGGCTCTGCACTCTCGACTTGACTCGAGTGTTCTTCATTCAACTAGTGATTTTCCTTCATTCTCTCAGTAGAACTGTGAATTCACCAGTGTTCCTTTCAGGCACTCTTCCTTTGTCTGACACGTTTCCGTATCGTGCCTCGCTGTTAATCGCCTAGCCCGTCCTGCGCTGTTTCGTAACGATCGCCGTCCACCGCGTCTAAGTGTAGATCGCGTACAGAACTCCTGCATAGCGTCATCGAGGGTCTTCGCCGGTCCGACAACATTTGCTCTGTCGTAAAGTGCGAGTCAACAGATTCTTTCGTCAACAGCTAACGGACTGAACCGAAGAAAGACGCAATGGCCGACTCTGCGAGCGGATCTGCAAGCGCGCCGAGCTCAGATTTCTACACCGCTGCGGGATTCAGAAAGTGGGTCGTGGAGAACAAGATCAAGGCCGTTGGTGAGTGCAACTAAAGCCCCGTTAGTATCACAATTGTCCCCACATTTTTGCTGCTCATGAAAACGAGCAGCGACACGTTGCCCTCGAACGGATCGTGAGAACGAGTTACGAAACACCACGTGCTTCGTGACGTCTAGTGAACGGATCTCGGCGACCGCGTTTTGGTGATCTGGTTGTGGACATGACAGTCTGCGTCTGCCAGGTCCATCAGGTGATCATAGGCGTTAGCGGTGTCATGGCTTTATAAACAGTGATAGATGACAGCGACAATCGTTTGTCATTCAGAGAGCTTGTTTCGAGGTTCTCTATGGCGGTCTTGGAGTATCAAAGACATTGCTACAGTACTTTCCCCCATTTTCTTTCATTCACCTCTTTTTGTGTCCGCCATCACAGGTACTCTATGGGCGTCAGCGGTGGGTGGATCCATTTTGTATAATCTCCGCAAGCCGGGGGAGAAGATGAGCGTCAAGATCATTCATGCTCGGTAAGTTCTAGGCGTGTTGTTTGTTGTAGTCTTGAGGCTTCTCTCCGGTGAACCTGTCAAGTATTGTTAGTTTACACATACGACATGCGCCTCCCTGCCTACCCTTGTGCTATTTGCTGTTCACAACAGCACTTCATTTTTTATGGCTTTGTGCACTCAAAAGTGGGTCACTTCAGTGGCAGCCTCTTCATGTAATTTTTGCTCCTTTCCTCCTATATGTCCCACAGGCTACACGCTCAAGCATTGACATTGGCGGCATTGCTGGCTGCTGGCGCTGTGGAATACTACGAGCATTCCTCGGGAGCGAAAGTGGAAAAAAGTTGTCTGAACAAACCAAGTTGCATTGATGTCTACACAGTTGGAACGTATCCAGTTCAATAAAACGCATGCCGTTTTTTTCTGTACATCAATTAACGTACCAACCCAATCCCTAAGTTGTCATCTCTTCTCAAACAACACCATGAGGCACATTTAAGTGGTAACTGAGAGGACTGATTTTAATTGACTACCAAAGGTTACCTGCCTTGCCATCATGCCCTGCTGTTAGTGCACTCTCTGAGCTTACTGGTGGGTTCCTGCTACAGTATGTTCCTTCCGTCATTCCTTGCTGTCAGCGGACCCTGCTATGCCAACATTACCCTGTCGTAGTGTGTTCATGTTAAGATTAGGAGATTATGCAGTACTTAGGTTTAGGAGAGGTTTAGCAAGGAGAATCATGGAGGGAGAAGTTTTGGCCAAAAGAGGGCTTTCATTATGAAGTTGGGAGTACAAATAGGAAGGAGAGGAAGGGGAAAAGGGTACACCACCAGCAGTTGAACTTAATATCTAACTAATACACTAGCAAGCTGTAGGCAGTTATAACAGGATATGCAAATATAATTCAACAGTTCATGCCATCATTCCCTGCTGTCATTGTGTCCCTATTATGGTACAACCGTGATTCCCTGCTGTTAGTGTGTTGCTGCTGCATCATTCCCTTGCTCTTAGTGTATTCACCAACATCTGCAGTACTAAGTGTGTTTTTGCCCTGCTGTGGTGTATACCTGCCATTGTTCCCTGCTGTTAGTGTATTCCTGCCAATATTCCCTGCTGTTATGTGTTCCCGCCAGTATTCCCTGCTGTTAGTGTATTCCTGCCAGAATCCCTGCTCGCTAGTGTACCCCTGCCAATATTCCCTGCAGTTTAGTGCTCTGTGTCGTCATTCCCTGCTGTCAGAGAGTCCCTGCAATCATTTTCCTGCTGTTAGGTACCCCTGCCAATATTCCTCTGCGGTTAGTGCGTCTCTGTCGTTATTCCCCGCTGTCAGAGTGTCCCTGCAATCATTTCCTGCAGTTAGTGTATTCCTGCCATCATTCCCTGCTGCTAGTGTGTCCCTGTCAGTAATCCCTGCTGCCAGTGGGTTCCTGAGTCCTGACCTGACCAACTACGTACTCTTTGTTGCTGTGCCCTCTAGCAGTCTCCTTGCAGCACCCTGTTCCCTGCTGCTATGCCTTCGCCGCATACCATACCGTACCCTCCCACCTTATCCACTCAATATACCTCACACCGTACCATACCACAATGTTGCTCCTACCCCTACTGAATCCCAAGCATCATGGCCTGGTGGGGTGGCGAGGTTTGACAACACATACTGTACTGTATAGCCTAATTTCGTAAGCCACTGACTGTATCTGCTACAAAGGTAGCACCCTTGGACATCATTCTTCTGTCTTTCCTTCCCAAACTGTAGCTGCTTACATAAAAAAAGGGGGGGCATGCAACAGAGTAAACTGAGTACAGGTAATTGTTGCTTGAAAAATACCTAGTTTGGAACATGTCCCGCATGGCAAAGGGTGTGATGGCATGAAAGATCAAGGGAGGAGTGGTAACAGCAATGAGAAGCAGGATGCGAATGCAAGACCTGCTGAGTGCACGTGGGAAGGGGACGAGGAGAGCAAGGTAGTTACAGGCTTTCTGAAAAAGGCTCAGACCTCCACTTCCAGTGTATGTGTTTGTGCTGCTTCTCTGCCTTCCCAAGGACCTGTACCGCCCTTTGCAGCCTGGGAAACAGGGTGGGAGAGAGAAGCACGTATTGGTGCAGCATGTTATGTGAGCACTGGTAGAAATGATGGTCCAGGCCCAGGGATGGCGGCAGGCACACCGCTAAACCTCCTCACTGCACCGCCGCTGCCTCACAACAAACAGTGCACCACACTCCAAAGAAAGGCTCTTTGCCGGAGAGCAGTGTAGAGCTTACAGAGTAGAGCATGCGATGGAGCGGAAAAGGAGACGAGCAGCATGGAAGCAAAGATGGCGCCATAACCCGTTGCTGCTGCTCGGCCAAAGAAATGAAGGCTTAACCGGAGGGTTACTTGGCCAGAGATTCGATGGCTCGGCCAGATGGTTGACTCACCGGAAGGAGAAGAGTTGACTCACAGAAACGTTGACTCGCGGGAAAGAGAAGCGTTGACTCGTGGGAAGGAAAGGAGAAGCGTTTACTCATTGGAAGGTGAGAGGGTGAAGGTGAGGGCGATGGCTCACTGGAAGGTCAGGAAGTTGACTCACCGGAGCAGAACGAAAGGGTAATTCCCGTAAGAAGCCACGGAGCTAGCAGTTGAATAGTCACCATTTGGATGCTGCCCCGTATACCCTCCCTCCCCTCCCGCACTGGGGCTCTGCACTCGAACGCTGCGCTTCTGCTGCAGCAACTGGTGTTGCCAGCGTGCCACTCAGCTTCCTCTGCTGCATCATGAGTGTCCAGAGGGGAATGGGGCAGGGCGGAGGGAATGGGGCAGAGCGGAGGGAATGGGGCAGAGCGGAGGGAATGGGGCAGAGCGGAGGGAATGGCAGAGGCGAGTGAGTGCAGGCCAAGAAACAGGTACGAGAGAATCTAAAGACATAGGCTCGAAGGGGTATTCACAGACTTGGTAACAGAAAGTGAGAGCAGCAAGAAATGACAAAAGCGACGAGAGGGGCTTACCTTGATAGCTATCCCTGGTAATAGCGGCTGCTAACTGCTGCAGCCTGCCTCCCTGTAGTGACAGTCCCCCCTGCTGAGTCACAAGCTCTCTGAAAGGCGGGAACAAGGGAGAGGAGGGCAGAAGCCGAGTGAGTGAGTACAGGCCTTGAGACATGGAAGGCCGGATCTGAAACATGAGTGCAAAGGGGCTATAACAGTCTTAATTACCGAAAGCGAGAGAAGCAGGAAAGAGCAAACACAAAGTAGAGGTCTTACCTTGCGAGGCCACGACCAGCCCCGGTGCCACACGTGCTTGGTTGGTGCGCCTTGCTTGCCTGCCACTGCTCCTTGACACCAGAGGCCGCTTGGAACCACAGGCTGAGTAACCTGCAAAGGAGAGGGGCGGAGGGTACGATCGTGGTATGTGCACAAAGACTATGTTTTGACGCAGAGACGAGATATGTGAGAATATAACATGAAAGACTTTACATCGGAAGGAGGAAACCGGGGAGTGTGGGGGGAGGGTGGGTGGAGGGACAGGGGGAAAGGAGGCATACAACAGAACCTGGAACAAGAAAGAAGGACGGGAAGTGGGAGGGGGTGAGCAGAATTGCAAGCAAACGAGCACATGCAAGCGTAGAATGGGAGGGGTGGAGAGCGGTGTTTGCGACCTACTCGGGGGTGAAGAACGGGCAAAATTGGCATACCTTGACAGGCAACAGCCAGCCCCATACTCTCCCTGGTAAAAGCGCTGCCTCCCTGCAGTGAAAGTTCCCTCTGCTGTGCCCACTGCGCTTGGCTCCCAGTTGCTGCTGCTGCTGCTTCTGCTGCCACAGGCGGGAAAGGTTGGAGGGACGGAGGGAGAAGGAGGCATGCAACAAGAACTGGAGCAAGAGCTGAACGACATGGGATGGGTCGGGAGGAGTGTGGGAGGCGAAGGGTGTGTGGCGATGGCAGGCCGTGGCAGTTTGGCAGCGAGCGAGCTTGCAGGGGGGACTGAGGAGGAGGAGGACGCGGGCATGAGGATTAATGCATTCTATTCTAACCCCCTACAACTCTACCTACATGCGCTCAGCTGCCTTGTGCGCCACGGCCCACCATCGCCACATGCCCTCACACTCCCACACACAATCGTATTCCGTTTTGAGAAAATTTGGAAATATATTGCGCGTCAAAAGCGAGCCAAGAGAAGCAAACGGAAGTGGATTTCAGAGCACTTAACCAAAGAAGTGAGCCGAGAGAAGCAAACGGGAGTGAATTTCAGAGCACTTAACCAGAGTGGCTGTGGCTGAACGGTGCAGATTCTCCTCCGACCCGACTCTCTCGTCCGTCACAATTCGCCGCCCGCCGATCGGCGTGCTTCGTTGCTCACAGGTCGGTCATTCGCAATGGGCGAGGCCTATCCCTCGCCATCCGTCCCTTGTTGTTCACTGCTCGGACAGGGAAACGAGGAGGCATGCGAGAAAAACTGGACCAAGAAAGAAACTCGCAAAGGAAGAAGAAGTGAGAGGTATCGAGAGTAAACAAGCACATGGCAGAACAACGGGAGGGGTTGGGAGGAGCGTGGGAGGCGAAGGGAGTGTGGCAAATGGCAGCCCGTGGCAGTTTGGCAGCGAGCGAGCTTGCAGGGGGGGACTGAGGAGGAGGAGGACGCGGGCATGAGGATGAATGCATTCTATTCTAAACCCCTACAACTCTAATCTACATGCGCTCAGCTGCCTTGTGCCACGGCCCACCATCGCCACACGCCCTCACACTCCCACCCGCACTCCTAACCCTTCTCACGAAAACGTGTCGAGCTTTTTCTGATCGCGCATCAACGAAAGTGAATCAACGAAAGACCAAGAAATGGGAATAGGTGCACTTATCCGGAAGTAGCTGCGGCAAACATGGGAGAGGGCACTCTCCCTGGTGATGGGCGACTGCTATCTGCTGCAGCGCTGCCTCCCTGCAGTGCCAGTTCCCTCTGCTGCGTCACAAGCTCTCTGGAAGGCGGGAACAAGGGAGTGTAGGGCAGAAGGGGAGTGGGTACAGGCCTTGGGACATGGAAGGTCGGACAAGGCATGAGTGCAAAGGGGCAATAACAGAGGTGATTACCGAAAGTGAGAGCAGCGCAATCCATTCGCCTTGAGGCCAGAGGGGGACAAAGGCACAGGGAGAAGGAGATGCATAGGAAAAGGATCGGCCTCGGAACTTGCAATGAATGGGAGCAGCAAGAACGTCAAGGTGGCAATAGAGCAGAAGCAGTGAAGAGCGAGCGAGCGTTGAGAAACTTGAAAATGAAGCACAGCAGAAACAGAGTGGTTGGATCGTGGTGGGAGGCGGAAGGAGGGGGGAGGGGGAAGGCGCATGGCGACAGTAGCCCACGGCACTACAGCAGCGAGCTGAGCCAGCGAGGGGGGACTGGGGTAGAGAGGGACACACGCATGGCATGAATGCACTCCCTCTCCCACTCATCTCTCCCACCACTCCCACTGCACTGCACTCTACATGAGCTCTGCTGCCATAGCACCATGGCCCACCACCACCATGCGCCAAAAGACGAATGTGCCTTGAGATTTGCCAAGAGTGAAAGAGACGGTGGGAGCGCTGGAGGACGGGGGTGGCGGAGAGGAAACTTAGCTAAGGATAAGCGTAGAGGCTGAAAGTGACTCGTCCGAGGCAGCAGCATCACCGTTCCGCACACCGTCGCACGCACGCAGCTCGACGCCATCCCGCACAATGTCGCACGCAACTCGTCGCCGTTTCGCACACCGTGGCGTCACCATTCTGCACATCGTCGCACCCAGCTCCTTGCAATTCCGCCTGCACTCCATTCGACCTGAGGCCAGAAGATGGATGGGGAACAAGGCACGGCGAGAAGGAGATGCAAAGAGACTGGCGTAGCGCAGGCAATGAAGTTAGAATGATGAAGCAGGAAGCATGACGTGGAATTGTATGAGTATTGGAAACTTGAAGCAGATGGCAGAAAGGCACGGGAGGGGTTGAGAGGAGCGTGGGAGGGGAAGGGCGTGTGGCGATGGCAGGCCACGGCAGTTTGGCAGCGAACGAGCTTGCAAGGGGGGACTGGGGTAGAGGGGGGACGCGGGCATGAGGATGAATGCATTCTAACCACCTACGACTC